ACATACATCTGGCCTGACACAGAGCATAATGTACATCAAGCTGCCAAGCAATTCGCGATATGGTTCTTCAGCGCTAGGCCCACCTCGAGGTAGTTGTAGACCTTTTTCCATTGGAGTCTTGATCGGATTGCATTCACCCATTCCAAAACGATCCTGTACCTTTGTAACGTTGGATTCCTGTGACAGTCGCAAAGATCCACCATTACGGTTGTAATTGATCCGTATACCAAGAAAGTGTCGCAATTCTCCGCAATCGGTCATCTCAAAAACAGTAGATAGCTTCTTTTTTAGCTTGTTGATGGTGTCCAAATTTCTTCCCGCAATCAGAAGATCATCGACGTACAGGATGATATAAAGCTCATCATTCTCCTCGTACCTGACGTACAAGCAGTAGTCTCTCTTCGATCGTACGAAACCCAGTTTCTCGATCTGGCTAGTGAACTTCTGATTCCAACACCGTGGTGACTGCTTAAGTCCGTAAAGCGACTTTTGCAGCTTGCACGCCATCCCTGGTGCCGACTTCGTACCGTCTGGAGGACAAATGAAAATTGATTCTTTTAGCTCGCCGTGAAGAAAGGCCGTCTTTACATCCATCTGGTGAAAGAAGAAGCCCTCGTGAACACCAACCGCAAGGATGATTCTAATCGTCGCAAGCTTGGCCACTGGAGCGTACGTCTCTTTGTAGTCCAGTCCAGGTTTCTGCAGAAAACCCTTCGCGACAAGTCGGGCCTTGTACCGTACTATCCGTCCGGCCTCGTCCTCCTTAATCCGGAAAACCCACTTGGTTTTTAATGGCTTCACGTTAGCGGGGCATGGTACCATCTTCCACACCTGATTTTTCTCCATTGACTGCAACTCGTCTTGAATGGCTTGCAGCCACTCGTCTCGGTCTTCCCGAACTAGCACATGCTTGTAGGTTTCAGGAACATCTAATGTGAAGGAAAACGCAGCAGGGGTTGCTTGGAAACCAGTAATATAATCGAGCAACTTACCCGGAAACTTGCGCTCCCGTTCGCTACGCCTTGACGATTCTGCATGAGTTTCGTCACTATTTATTTGCGAAGGGAGCGCAGCGACTGTTGCTTCATCTGATATGTTGTCCTCTGGATCTTGGATCTGGATCTCTCCATCGTTGTCCAAATCTAATTCTTCATCGGCAGGTTCGTCTTCGGGCTCAGCTGCTTGGTTGGATTAGAACTAATTAGAACTAGGTGAAAATTCACTATTTATACCCTCCTAGTTGTTTATTGGTTACCATGGAGTCCTTGGTTATATACTTGCTGCCATGGTATCCTTTTGTTATTTACCTAGGTTGTTTATCCGTTGCCACGGCAACCTTCAAACAAACGGACCTGGCTTCGGCGTATCCTCGGCTACTTTGTTTCACATGTATGAAGCAAGCAAGCGCGACACCGGACATTGATTATGATTTTTTTCATCCAAAACTTAGCTATGAAAATAGTACAAACCAGCTACCCTCTAGCCCAGACTGTGCCTCTAGCATGTCGAGTTTGGACCGTAGTTCCTCCATTTCCTTGCTGTTCTTAATTGAAAATTTTACACTTAGCTTTATTTATACAAATCTCGATGAACATTTCAAATGGTCCTTTCTGCTTCAGGTTACTCACCGGGTGACTCGATCGTACTCAATTTCGTTTGATGCATTAGGTTTTCAAAATCTGAGTAAACGAGCAATGTCAAACTGAGTAAAAGCCACTCAGTCAGCCAAATCTGGAACTTAGAAAAAAATGTCAGCCGTTTCAGAGCAAACGCTCTAAGAAACGGCGAAATTATTGCATTAAACCGGCCGAAATTTATTAAGGTACGTATAAATTGCATGCGGAGACGGATTACAGTCATCTTCAGCTCCAGTTAAATAAATCTTATTTTTTTATCAAAACAAATAAACGAGAACGTCGTTAACTCAAAAGTGAGTAAAAGTGCGCCTTCTCACTTATGTGTAGCTACCCGCATAAACGCGAACCATAAATTGACCTTACCGATAATGGTTATAAATTGTTTATAATCCCTCCTTAACTTTAACTGAAATGGTTTTGGAACCTTACATCACGGAACCAAATTTTGTTCATTTAAGTTAAAAATATATATGTTTATTAAATAAAAATATGAATAGTTCAAAGTAAATTAAAAATACGTTTTCAACAAAAATATGTATGTTTAAATTAAATTCAAAAGCATGTTTATTTCAACAATACATAATCTGGGTAATCAATTTTTAGCGTGTCCTTTTTTCCTTCTTGTTTACATTCGGCAAACTTAACCGAAAACGGCCTGCAAGCGGCGAAACCAAAGTAGAGGGTCCGGAAACCAACGCAAGCAAGTGTTCCAAGCTCGACAAAACCGGTGGAACATCACAATATTAACGTCAATCCGTCGTTTCTGATGCCGATCCCCATTTCATCCTCACCATCCACCCGACGTCGAAAGAAAAACAGATCATCCCCGAACACTAAACTTAGAAAGAGGCCGGTATGAGGACCAGCGTCAGAAACGAAAAATGACGCTAATATCACAAAGTTTCACCGGTTTTACTGAACTGGATCGGATCGGACACCCACCCCGACGGCTCCCCGGATCCAAACATCCACAGACTTTCCATAATAGCTGAAATTTCCATTTATTTGCTATCCATTTTATTTTGATTTATGCAGCATTCAAATGCTAAAATAATTTCAAAATATGTTTGTTTATTTTAAACTCGAAAAGCATGTTTAAAATAAACATATTAATTTTTGATCGCATATAGTTTCCAAATAAATCAAAAATATTCACGTTTATTTTCAACACGAATATTTTTAAAATAAATGTAACATTATTTTTGTTTTAAACATTATTATCAATGAATTCAAACATAGAATACGTTTGAAATCAACCAAGTTTATGTTTGTGGCCAGAACAAACTGAGTTTACGTTTAAATTTACCTCAAATATTTTTGTTTCGACGGTAAATTTTTCTGCGTGATGAACGTTTGTGTGATAAAGTTTTAACCTTATGTATTATGGTTTTTAGGAAGCGGACCTTACAAATAATGGGTTGTTAAGAACCATTACCATTTCAAATTCTTGTTTTCTCCATACATTTTCGGAAAGAGAACTATATTAGAACGTTTTTACTTATGGTTTGAGAACATTAATGGTTATGGTTATGGTAGTCAGTAAGGCCCATGAATGGTTTTGTAACATCGATCAACTTTATGTGGAATATATCGCGAATTGGTTGCCTGTAAATTAATAATTATCAGTTCGCGATATATTCCACGTAAAATTGAGCGATAATACAAAACGATTAATGGACCTTACTGACTACCATAACCATAATTATTAATGTTCTCAAACCATAAGTAAAAACGTTCTAATATAGTTCTCTTTCCAAAAATGTATGGAGAAAACAAGAATTTGGAATGGTAATGGTTCTTAACGACCCATTATTTGTAAGGTCCGCTTCCTAAAAACCATAATACATAAGGTTAAAACTTTATCACACAAACGTTCATGTAAGGTTCCAAAACCATTTCAGTTAAAGTTTAGGAGGGATTATAAACAATTTATAACCATTATCGGTAAGGTCAAGTGATGGTTTGCGTTTATGCGGGTATACTACACTGATAAAACTAGTATGGTATCACGTACCATTGAAATGTGTTTAATTATACCATGACAGCTCATAGTAAAATCAACCGATATTTCTTTCAAATCTAATATTTTTTTTTAACTTATTTACTATGCTCCCCATAGATTTCATGTAGTATTATTAATAACATTCATGGTTAAACAATACTTCAAATTTACCATGTTATCTTGAGAATATGGTAACATCAACAGAAATGCTGTTTGGTTGGAAAACAGAACGATTACTATTTCACTGCTAACCGTGGTAATCACAGATTATTGTATGATCGCCATTTTTTAAAAACTCATTCGACAAGTGCGCATCAGGGGGTATTTTTCAGGTTGCAGATAAAAGTGGCAGCTAAAGTTGAACTATTGAATCATTCCTGGAATCATTGTTGTTGTGGAGGTAAAACTCATTAACGGTAAACAATTTTAATTTAATTAAGGTTTATTTATGTGGAAGCAGACAAAATACCGGAACAGCAGAATTTTCTCGATCAGGAGCTAGATCCATCTGTTTATGTCAAATGGTAATCAGTAACAATTATTAAATATAAAAATTTTAACATTAGATTTTAGATAGGCTTTGAACCGGAATAACGGACACAAACATGCACTTTGATAAAAGCGTCGTAATCTGACCGACACCGCCTTCATGCAATCCTGCTAAATCTCTACCGGGGTCTCTGGATCAAACCACCACCATTGCTCAACTAGGATTATTCAGTGTGTGTGTGTTGTGCAGAGTATTTCAAAATAAATAAATTATGCCTATATTCTAAATGGCTTCTCAGAACAACTTTTTTTCTGAGATTTCAATTGATTAGAAATTTTCATAAATGATTATTTTTTTTATTTGATTGGAATCTACAAAGAGGTCGAAAGTCTCAAATCAATGCAATTATATTTTCGCAGTAGAAATTACTACATAAATATGGTTAACAATACTATTCTCAATAGTAGTAGAATTAACTGAAATTTCGTTTACTACAACAATAATTTCCGTTGTAGTTGATGCAATCACTTTTGTTTTTGTTTATACTAGAAGAATGGTTCACCGTACTACGCCAACGTTTTTGACGCAGTATGGTAACATCAACAACAGTTGTATTCATTTCAAATACAATATTCGTTCTACCGAAATTTAGTGGTATTTTGTTTTCATTTTTAACCTACGAAATAGTAGTGGTTACCATGGGACTGTTTTCAGTGTACCCGCTGAAATGAGCATGTTCGACTCAATTTTGAGTTGTTGCGAGTTACCGTGTACACTTTTATACCAGTTAATATTTCGTTCTTCGTTTTCTGTCAACAAGCAATTTTTAACGAAGGTATGACGTACCGCTGACGGGCGAAGTGCGGACATAAAAAAAAATCACGAAAGAAAATCGTCTCGTTCGACAGAACTTCGCGAGTAAATTTTCGCTTATCAATAAAATTGTTCCGATTCGATTCTTCCTCCGTGGCTAGAAACTCAAATTGGCAGTCGTTCTCTTCCCGGTGATTTCCAATTAATGTTGATTGTGTTATATAATTAAGAACGGCGTTCGGCAAACGATGTGGAGCAATTCAATCTAAAGTAATTCTTGCATTGGAGCACAGCGAGCGACATTAGTGAGTGAGTGCTGGATGGATGGCGTTCCGCAAATGACGACGATTCATCATTAGTGGAATTTTATGTGCTGGAAAAGAATCTATTAGTGCAAAGTGGTCGTGGTCGCATAGGGGTTGGCTGTCGAGTACTTTATCGCTATCAGTCGAAGAAGATAACTTCCTTTGCTAAGTTTGATATCCAAGTTACGTTTGTTCACAGTGCTGGACTGTTGGAGGCTGATATTGGAATTATATAAAATAGAAAAAAGGGGAAGACGATTTCCTCCCATATGCAGGCGATAAAATAGTGCCCTTCCAGTCTCCTGCTCCGTGCGTTCCGACGACCTCCTCTCCTCCCGTTGCAGCGTTCTTCAGTTTGCAGCTTTTGACAGTCCTCCTCGTCGTGTCGGTGTCGAACGACGGACGGATAGACAGTCCACATAGAGCGAGAGTGGACGGACGAGATTCAGTGATTAGCGAGAAATTACACAATTTATTACTATCTCAATACGCCGCCCATCGTCCGTGCGTGAAGTGCAGCGGTGCAAGAAGAGCACCAGTTTATGTGTGTGTGTGTTTGTGTGGAACATCTGCACGAACCACCATTGTGCCCCGGAAGAGCTAGTTGGACGTGAAAGAAGGGAATCACGGAATAAGCGACATTTTGGCTCGATCAATTGGATTAGCAAACAGCAGCAGCAGCAGCAAAAATGGTATGTTTTTGTCCACATCCTACAGTGAGGTTGAGTTGGTATTCGTACAGTATTTCAATGTTACCTTCATCATACATGATTTATTACGTCACGCAATAACAACATTTTGTTTTTATTCAATGGAATTTAACTTTTGTTTAAAAAAATAGTGAGGGTCGAGCCTGGCTGTAGTGGTTAGTATCAATGTCTCTCACACTGATAGTCACTAGTTCAATTCACCTCTCTCGACAATAGTCACGAATGACCTAAAATGTGTTAAAGCGGCTAAAACAAATCAAAAATCACAATATTAGTTGATTTGTTAAACCAGGGAACTGGCAATCAATACCAACAACTTCAAAATGTCTTATTCGCTATCCCATAAATATCTTGGAATAACTAGTCAATGTAGTTATCTGAACATTCTCCAATAGTTTCCTACACATTCGTTCAACGTTTCGACGTTTTCAGGGTGTCTACTAACTGGAAAAACTGGAATCTTTAGGGTATTTTATTTAACCTGAAATATTCTGGAACTCTCAGGAAATTTTCAACTTCGTTTATCATGCAAATGTTTAGGAATAGTGTATATAAAAGTACGCCAGAGAACCTTCCCAGGAATTAAAAAATATATAATACAATCAACTTTTTCTTTCTTGTTAGTTACTTTTACTGTTGGAACACATTAATTGTGGAGTGGATTCAGTATCTGTGGAGTAGATCTTCAGTATCAACATAAATTCTTATGCAGACAATTTCTACAGATTTTAAACTTAGACTATTTTTTTAAATCTAATGGAACCTAATTAACCGTGAAGAAATTTTCTAGAATCTGGAACGAAAATAAACATTCTATATTTCGGGCAAAGAATAAAATCCAAAAACGCAGATTTCAAATAAATTACGGGCTTGCAACAGTTTCAAATTTTATGAATAAATTGGATGATAATTACCAAAGATCTGAATTCAGAGGAAAATATCGAAGTATGGTTTTTTAGGAAAATGAAATCAGAAGATTCTTTTCAAATTAGTTATGAGGAACTCCAGAGTCCAGGTGAAACGTATGGTGCATTCTAATGTAGTTCTGAATAGAATTCCAGGGGAATCCTGTTTAGGATTCAAAGTAAATTTTCAAGAAAATTCAGTATAGCATTGCAAGGGAATTCCAAAGAGAGTTCTGACTAAAACTGCAAAGTAATTTGGAGAGGGAGTTATAAGGGGAACTGAAAATTAATTCTAAAGAGAACAAATACCCATGAGGATCAGAATGTGCGTCTAACAAGAATCACCCAGTACTCTAGGATGATTGCACACAACTTCCCGCATAAATGCGAATAATTACTTGGCCTTACCAAAAATGGTTAAAAATTGTTTATAATCCTTGCTAAACTTTAACTGAAATGGTTATGGAACTTTACATGAACCTAGGGGCTAGACAGCTTTCAACCATGAGTTTTTTTTGAGCAAATCTTGAGTAACTCTGAGTTACTCCCGTTGCTAAATGAAGAAAATAGTTGACAACATGATTTTTTTTTATCGCAGCAACTCAGTTGAACAGGTTTCTCTCCTTATTTACATATTTTTGGTTCTGCTCAAGCAAAAAAAAAAACAGAATAGTTCTTGGTGATCTGGGAATAAGAAAACGGGTTTTAATCAGGGTATAACTTATTGATGATATAAGTTATAATACTATCCTTCTCGTTGCTACAGAATGTCCAAATCATTCCTCTGAATCCATATTATATTTTCCGCTTGCACCATAAAAAAAAAGTTTAATCAAGAAGCTTGAACAAAGGTGGGCCATTACCTTCTAGCTCAGCAGTGAAAAACGGTTGGGTTTAAACTCCCGACACCGATGGATGAAACAGTTTTACGGTAAACAAAGGGTGCTTAATTCATGCACCAAGCACAATGTCTATTGGGACTTCAATCAGACAATCCAGCCGGTATCCAATAGGAGGTGTTTGTTTCGTATCAACTAACTAAGCACTCGCTACGGTTAAATAATACATAACACTTTATTTAACACAGCAAAACATACAATATTTTTATCAGGCTTATCACTAATTTGTATTTCACTTAAACTAGGAACAATTTAACGGATTAAAATTCCGTCGTAAGTCTCCTATTCGTGTAATACAGTGACTTGGTTGAGGTGGGACTGATCCCTTTACCCGCACGATCGTTGTAGGAAGGTCAGTCCTCCGTCGATGCGATTATTTCCTTAGGCTTCTGAGAGTGGGTGATATTCACACCGCTCTTATCACTTACCTGGTCCGGTCATCCTGATCACTCCTGTGCAATCGGTGGCAATCGATGACGATGATGACACTAGTACCAAACCATTGATTTCGAAGTTTAGAAGTTTTGGCCTAGATTTAGTATTCATCAGCTGAAGTCACTGTTAGGATCAACAAAAGATTCTATAAATGTCTTCGGGAATGCCGGAGTCCACAGAATCTCTTGTCCAGATTGCAACAAAATCTACATTGGTCAGACGAAAAGGACTTTTTAAACAAAGTTTAAGGAACACATCGCAGAGGTAAAAAAGGCTAACAAAGAGATGGATAAAGGACTTCATTATGAATTCAGGGCTGGTAACGAGTCACTTTTTAGTGACTTGGTCACTTTTTTCAAGCCAGTCACTAAAAAGTCTCCTTTTTTAAGGTCAAGTCACTAAAGTCACTTTTTTTTTTTAAATCAGTCTCTATTTTCAACTTTTTTAGTGTGAATTTATTTTAAGATTGATCATTCTTTGCTTTGTGACGTATAATCGTCTTCCTCTATCTATGTACTACTCATTTTTCTAAATAATTTTTTTTTGAGTTTTTCAGGTTTTTCCAGAACTTAAATGGATAAATTCCAGGCTTATAATAAGAAAGTTATTTTTAAAATTGGTTTAAAATATGCTTTTTTGGAAGATCAAAAACAACAGTAATTAACTCAAACGTTTTTAAGACATGGCAATCAGTTTTAAAGAAACAGATTTACAATCAAATCCATTGAATGTTGAAGATAAGCACTTGCTTAATTTCTCACTTTAAAATAGTTTAAAAAACACACATAATTTGAGTAATTCCAAGATCTAAAAATATTTAATGTCTTGAAGTTTCGTATTCCAAGTACAATTTCAAGATATTGAAAATTTTCAAAGTGCCTGAATTAAGGAAAACAAATAAATTATTTATTTCAAGTTCGTAATTAACTTTATCAAAGATTATAGATCTTCATTGCAGTCCCATTAACTTCACAACAATTGTAGGAACTTTGAAATTTTTCGGGAATTTCGAATGAAGCTCCATAAACAAACTGCGGGATTATAAGGGAAGTTAACACACTGAAAATATGGGGAACTTACTGGAAGCTTTAAGATCCTCAAATCGGTACTTTTAACATCAGAAAAACTTTTATGAAGTCCCTAAAATTTAAGAGCTCATCATAGGTGTTAAGTGAACTTGATAAATAGAGAAAACTTGAGGGGCATTGTGCAATTTTTTTACAAGTTCTAAGCTACTCAGAAAAGTTAGATCTAGAGATTTTTGGAAAATTTCAGATCTTAAAAGCAGGTCCCGTAACTTAAGTCCAGACTTTTGGGGCAGTTTAATGATCTATAAATGTAAATATAGAAAAATTGAGAACCCTGATGTTCCGAAAATTTCAGGAAAGTACAGAGACCATCAGAGAATTTATGAAAACTTCAGAAATATTTCAGGATCTTCACAGAAGTCCCGAGAATTTCAGGGAAATTTATCTTCAATAGAATTGAGAGCTTTAAGGAAGCTTCGAGAACATCAAGACAGATTTCATGGAAATTGTAGAAACCTCCGGATATTTCAGCAAAGCTCCGAGAGAATTTCTGGGACGTGATAAAAATTATATGAACATCCGGAAAACGTGAGAGTATTTTAAGGGTGTTATATCATATGGATTTGGAAAATGTGAAAATTTAGCTAAGTTGAGAATATTAACGAAGTTCCATTAATTAAAAAAAAAATACGAGAACTTTTAGCAAGCAGCGGTATCTTCAAGAAATTACAGAGAACTTCTAATAGATTTAGATAGTTTCATGATATTCAGCGGAGTTGCGAGTACTTCGAGGACGATCAGATAGATTCAGAATAATCCTAGTAACTTAAGCAAATTTGCAGCGACTTACAAGGAATTCCGTGGAATTATGGGGTATTCCAAGAATTTTATGATTATCCGAATACGCCAGCGTACTTTGAATATATATCAGAAATTTTCTCGGATTATTAAACAAATTTAGAGAACTTCAGGTAAGCGTAGATAAGTTCAGGGAAAATAAGAGAGCGTTTATAATGGTTAGAATACTTAAGAAAAATTGTCGAAACTTCAAGGCAAATCAATTAATTTCAGTAAAGTTGCGGGTTCTTAAAATATACTGATAAATTCAGGGCAGTTTTGAAAACTTTAAAGAAATTCAGTAATCGTTAAGGCAGTTTTAATAACACCAGGAAAGTCTAGACTATTGAAGAAGTTTTAAATTAGTGTCGATAATTTAATGGAAGTTTCATGAACTTCAGTGAAAATCATAGAACTATATTAATTATTTTGTTTGAATCCCATGAAAATTGCGCAAGCACAAAAGTTCCAGAAATTTAGAAAAACATCGAAAACTTCAAAGTGGTCTTCAGAATCATTTTGAGAACTTCTTAGAAATCTATGGAGCTTTCGGGGAGATCCGTGAACTTCAGGATTTTTTATGAACGTTAGCAAAATGCAGGTGCTTTTGGAAGAAGTCAAGTATGCTCCGAAAATTGGAGGAATTTCGAGGGGAGTTCAGTTCCATTAGTTTCAGAAAATTTGTGTTAAATTTAAAGCAGTTCCCAGATTTTCAGATAACTTCAGAGACGTTAAAAAGTTAATTGAAGTCCTCGCATAAGTTCAGAAGTTCACTGAAGCTTACACATTTTTAGGACGGTTCAATTAAATTCAGCGCAGTACAACAAGCTTCACGAGAACTGCAAAAACTTTAGAGAAGTTTTGAGAATTTCAGAAAA